GTCCTAACAAAAGAATGGTTTTTTTTGGCAATTCACTTTCCGAAGAACAGTAAGTTGTCGTTACCTTTACCAATAGTTAACTCTTGTCTTGCGTCTCTTATATCACGTTAGTACTGCCAGAGAACCACATCCAAGATGGAAGTCCTTTGTTTTATGCCTGTTGGGTTGCGAACATGTTAATTTAGCCTCACCGCGTGAAAGCAATTCATGAACTAAAGTCCCCCAACCATCCCCCATCCTCTTGTTTCTATTCTATTTTAGGGTGATGGTATTGATTTTTTGTAGTTCAACGACTTGTGTAATCAACCATGATTACGTTTCAGTACCAAATTGTGTTCAACGTTACATTAAGATATAAAATTGATGAGAAATTCATACAGAACAATGATGAGGTGTCTGCATAAGATCATCTTTTAAGATTTAAAATTAATTCGTTTGGGACTTTCTTCTTGTCAATTAGAATGCAAAACAACTAGGGTTACGATAAATGTTTCTATGCGGGAGAATAGGCACCGATAATCGGATTGATGTTTACCGTGTGAACGGCAGGCAGGCAGATAGATCGGGAGGGGGCGGCTAGCAAGGATATCAGTTTTTCTATTAAACAATGCACAAAATTCTCACACGAAAATCACACAGTTTTGTGATTCAAGGGCTTATGGGAATAAGATAAGCAAGGCTAATCATTGACAAATCTTGGCATAAAGTAATGAAATCCTTTTTAAATGGGTCAGGGAAAATAACTGCTGAACAATAAAGTTTGGCAGGAAAATGCACTAAGTAACATACATAGTTGAGTCCTTCACACTAAATCGTTGTAACAAGCAAAAGCGATGTAGTAAATGGTAACTTGTGGGTATTTGAGTGTTTGTGTGTTTTATGGCAATGGGTACGGAAGTGACAAGTGAGGTTTCCAAGGGATAATCAGACCGTGAAAGACTACGAAGACATTTGAAGCATTTGATGCATACAGCCAGAGGTCAGATTGTATGGAGAATACTTGCACTTGTGTTAAACTGCTAGAAAATAATCTCACATCGGATTGGTTTGAGATGGCTCGAAAAAAGACCGCATCATTGGCATATTTGAAGACCATAATTGAAGGGATCGAGGGCGATTCGGTAAAATCAGGATGTAGGCAGCGCAGCACTCGGATGGGTTTCAGAATTATTCAGTTTTGAATCAGTGCCGATTGCTTTCGTTAGATGAATCCTCATATGTGAGGCCCGACGCAGTAGTTGGTGAGTAACTAGCCCAAGAGGCGTTCTCAAATTATGCGATAGTAGTTCGATAGAATCTCATATTCTAAACAGTTTTTCTTGAAATATCAAGTACGTTGTCCACGGAGCTCGGAGCTCTCATTCAGCATTTCCAACACATTGTGCTTCTCTCTGATTGATAGACACATGAGTATTATGATGTCACATAACTCTGTCTTCGATCCTTCGCATCGGTGTGTGTTATTCTCAACGGTTATCCAATCAGTGTAAAGTATCATGTTAGCGTCACACTAGGTGAAACGCCATTAGCTGAATGCGAAATTGCATGTTGGTTGTTCAGTGACAGTCTCGAACACTGTTCAACTACCAAGTGAGTAGGTATCAGGAACTGCAACATATTTAGTGTGTGTGTGGGGGAGGACGACTCTGCATATTCAGAAACTACGTTATTACGCATACGGTTAGCCAGGGTTTTCTAAGGAGTAGGAAAATGCAACTTCTCAGAAGTGCGAATTAGCAGTAGATTGACTATTAGGACTTGATAATCATCCCACTTTGAGTTTTGTAATCGGTATGCTGCTCATACACAGAAGTGAATGCCCTGGTTCCTTAAGATGCAGTCTACGACTTGCTTAGTAAACGTATACAGCGTAGGCTGAGACACTTCCCACCAGGCATAATGTCGTCGTACGAGGAGAAAATCTCCTCCTCCTAGTCCAATTTTCTTATCAATTCTGCAGTGGGGGAAATGAAGTGGGATTAACCGTTCTACGGAGATGACCCTCGATAACCATGTTTCGGGTGGGTTTATAATATCATCTTAACTCCCTTAGGCCAAATAGCCCGATTTGTTTTCAACACTAAACACATATATATCACAGATTTTTGGCCATGTCAGCATAGTGTTAAGGCTTGAGTAGGTCCACTGCTCTATTTGTTGTTGTCCTTGTAGGCAGTGCCCGAAGGTCAAGGATGATGTTGATGCAGTTCATAGCTCAGTAACCCGTGGATCAAAGTTTTTTGCCGTTGAGTGTTTTCATCTTTGTGAGGTTTAGTTTTATTTCCATAACATTAACATCGCTTATCGAGCCTCAGTGGTTTTCTGATGCGGTTCTCACCAAAAAGTTTTTGTGATATCTGTTTCCCCCTCTATTTCTCACCTTCTTTCAGATGGATTTTGAGGAACCCATGAGTTTGCGATAGGTGCCAGTGTTTGATCCGCATTACTATCGGAGAACTCCACTAGCGTTTGTATTTGACTGGGTTTGATGCTGCCAGATTCCAGTGCCCTATTTGTAATGTAAATTTACCCTCCCTCATATCATTTTTTAAATTGTCTTTAAATGTACAACAGAAAACGAAATGAAATTCTTTAGGTTTTTAAAACGGAGGACATCTACCCGCTGTCCGGACAGCTGTGTACGACTGGGTTGCCACTTTCGTCCAACACCTCCCACTCTCTAACCTCCAGCATCTTTTGAGGTTTCGGTCTTTCATATTTATATCTCCTATAACTACGGAATTCTGAGGACCATCGGTTAATTGCAATTTTGAGTTTAACCATTTCAGGCGCCTAGAATGACCTTATCAAACACGCTGGAACTCGCACCGAGATCTGAAAACAACCATGCTTTCGGCTTTACGGCTATATTCGGCTATTCGGCTATATCTTCTACCCGTGGCACGCTGAATTCGTTCACTGTTGAAGAGCATAGATAACGGAGATAGCTCTAGCTACTCTCTGCCCAGGTCTAATCACCTGTACGGTTCAGCGGCCGATCCTCTGCACCCTCTTAGTAAGCACCACTGGTAGTAGCCAGTCCGCCTAGCTCTCAAAACGTTATTCGTTATATGCCTGGTGTGACTTTGCGTTTCGGATAAAGGGATCTTCGTCATCGTATATAAACAAATTCCTAATTAAGTCCATCATCATGCCCCTTTCTTGCATAAGCGGCTTCAGTTCCCTTTCTAGCGTAGCACCTTGGGTCTTTAATCTCGCTTAGTGGTTTTAATGAACTTTGGCTATTGACCTGTCCGATTTCGCCACGGGCACGTCAACACAACCAACAGTGCTTTAGCTTTCCCTCAATCAAACATTTTGGAAACCCCTAACCGGCTTTTGTGAATCATCTTGTGCCTCTGAGTCTGTCAGTTACATGAAACTATTTCACGTCACGATGCCATATTGGACGGTGAAAAAGGTTGCGCTCAGGTGATCCAGGTTGCGAAGACGAGTACGGCAGGCATTGTGATCAACAGCAAAATAAATTGGCAGAACTGACTGGTTATCACTGAAGTCTAAATCTGAAGAGACATAAATTAGCAATTTCGGTTCAGCTCTGGTATTGGCTGGTTGACACGGTGGTAGCACACATGACTTCCATGTTATGGGTTCGGGATTCAGATCCCGCACGGGATGATGGACACGTACCACTAGTGAGCTCTATTGAGTGCTTCCGAGTGTATGGTTGACTGGAAGAGCTGAGGAATGTGTTTGAAAGTGAATTCTGAAGGATGATCAGTTCAAGTCAGTTCAAATCCAAAAGCAGAAAGTAAGTATTAGTTAACTTATTCGTATACTGACAATAAAGATAGAAACAGGAAACGACCGAAGTTGGGGGAACGGCTAGTTTGAACGTTTTCAGAATTTCCTCAGATGTGAAGCCAACCTGTATGAGAACGAATCACGTGTGCTCGTGCTGCTTTTTCAGCTAATCAATTTTGGTTTCTAGCATAGATCAGCTGAAAAGGACAAATCCAGAACCACTCATAAGGGGCCTGAAATTTAGATGTGTGTGTGCTCTCGGGGCATGATCCCATTCTATGGAGCGTTTGAGGTCGGATTCATGAATTCTGGAATATTATTCTTCAAAAACCAACATCTTAGTCCCTGAGCTTCACAGTCTTTGGTGTCGATGTGTTCTCAAAAAAAATATTAGAAAATTCTTCGTGGAAAGTTATTGATTAATGCGTTTATTCCAGACTTATTTTTGTAACAGGTGAATACTCATAGCGACGGGCTATTGTGATTCGGGGATATTCTGAAGTGTCTAGACAGTAGATCATTGGTGGNATTGGTGGTTCCCATGCTCTGCTTGTTCTTTCAATGAAATTAATCCCGTGTCGTGAATCACGTTATCGGGGCACTTGTGTATAAACCATGATATGATATATTAATATAAAGTAGTTAAGTAGGATTAAAACAAAATAGATGAATTCAGAAAACTACTGCAAACCATGAAAACCCCTTCGGTTTCTACTTGGAAACACTTATTGATCAATACTGATCGAAGGTATAGAACATTCATTTCATTTTTTAACTTGCTATGAAACCCATAACACATCAAGTGTGTATCTATATCATTGACTCTTAACGAGAGAGATAACCTGTTGAGAATAAACTAAGCACAGGGCTTTGTTAACCTAAATTTCACAATCAGCGATGTACTAGCACACGACCTCAACGAAAGTTCAATGTCTACTGCTGTCTACGCTCTAGTATTGATCATGTGAAATGAATCAATCGATCGGCCAATAGCCTAACCGAAACCTGATACAAATCAATGAGTTACTATGTGTATACTTTATCATCTGCATGATCGAGTCAGTGAGTGATCAGATCAGGTTTGAATTTCTACCAGCTGTCTGATATCCTTGAACCTCGGCGAGATACACGACGCTGTACTCAATGCAGCTGACCCGATCCGGATAACAATCCATGTTCTTGTGAGAGCAAGAAAAGAGTCAATACACTCGCCTGCCTAAACGCATCGCTCTCGAATGCGTTTTAGAACAAATCTGTACAATGTGTTAGTCACATCCGCAGCGTTTCTGTGCCTATTCACAGCTTTCCAGACCACATGTCTGGTTTCGGTAAGTCCCATTGACTCGTCCCCCCTGTAACGAGGTTTTGAATGGATGGGTGGAACGAAAATTGTATTCCATTTGTTATAGCAAAACGTCCTAGAGTCTGCAGCACTGGAGAGTAAACGTCTCACAGGAGATGCGTTTCTTAGGTAATGTGCTTTTTCTATCTATCTATTTCATTCCGCAAACTACCCGCCACCCCGGCCTCCAATTAAAATCAATTGCACCTAATCATCAGTCTGGCTATTTTGTATGCCTCGTTGGCTGCGTTGAACTGGATCGCGCCTATGGTGGTCATTGCGGTCGGGGAGAAATTGGCTATGTTCCTCGGTTCCTGCTGTTACGTGTAAGTCAGTAAGAGTCACGTATTTAGAGTGTGTTCAAGCCCTCGTCCCGGATGCATACGAGCTGGATAAATGTTTCTTCCCATCTCCTCGTCTCCCGCTTTTCAGAATCTATGTTTCCGTGTTTGTGGAACCCAGAGATTGGATACTGTACAGCGTTTCCGTACTCAATGGATTTGGAGCTGCCGGTGAGTATCTTAATGGAATAGAACTCCCTATTTTGGGATAGGAAATATTAAAGTGGGAAATGTCGCTTTGTGACTTTGTTACCAACAAATCACCATACATGAGAATCCAGTGATTTCGATATGTTCATTTATGTCACAACCTACAGTATGGAAAATAGTAATGACTGGTTTTGATTAGCCGACCATCTTACCCCGTAGATACGCACAATCCTCGTTGCTATCACGTCCGTTAAACTTATTTCCTGCCACTGAATAAACCTACATCGGCAATTCTGTTATTCCGTTAGATGATGAGCTCAAAATTGTAATCAAACTGTAGCCTTGCGTTTGTTTGACTGCATAAATTGGGAATGTGTATCAAGATGAAATCCACAAGACAGTTACATTTTGTTTGCATTCAGTTTGTATTGAAAATATTCCTCGAATTTATTGACAACTATCCGTGTTCGTTTGAATGTAATGTTTTGGTGATAAAACAAGTCATTTTGTTGTTGATGTAATGAGTGAATCGTTGTGAACGCTAAGTGCACACACGAACCTATTTGCCGTTGAATGGCTGAAGGTGATTTCAGTCTGATTGCTGCTTACACATGGATGCTTTTGGATATATGGCGTGTCTAATCAAAACCACAGACAAAAATAGGTTATTTGAGGCGTGAACGGAAAGGCAATTACCATAGATTTAAATGCATAACTCGATACAGTTCAGTTTTTTTACAGCTATTAGCCGTACACTTTCGTGATCCGGTTTTGGTTGCTGTCTCCTGACTTCCCATTTTTAGTTTGAAGAAGTAAAGAAGATTGGAATGTGTAAATTAGTGTCATGGTCAAAATGGAGAACTCATGAAGATTAATGTTACAAGGATCAGGAGTAAATGCGCGATTGCCATTGTTTAGGACACTCAACCATAGCACCGATTGTCTCTGACTATTGATAACAATGATCCAGAGGTCCCTGTGCAGTATGATAAATGAGGCCCACATGCTGATCGGCACAGAATCACCCTATCACCCTTAAGGGAATTTGAAACTCCAATCTTTGGAACTGAGAAGAATACGAACAAATGGACAATCATGAATCATCAATGGATGAAATTAAATTGAAGTTGATTTTGCTATAACATAGTAACCCTTAGTACCGACGAGTTGTCTCTACCTCGTCTCCAGCTTATAAAGTAGCATTCTCACTAACATTATCATATTCCAGTAGAAATAATGATCTGTCACAGTCTATATGTGTCCTTTTACTTTTTTTTATTTATTGAATATACAATGTACAGACAACTTTCAGCCATACAAAGGCTGCCTGGGAAGACGGGCGGTGGTTGAGCGGTTAGAACCTGGGACTCATAGGTCACAAGTTGGTGATCTAACCACTTGGCCACCACCGCGACCAGTTGCTTATACAGTTCCTCTTTATTTAGAAAACTTAGTGACCATTTTATCGCTGAGGACTCAGCATTCAAGCTATCATCATCAAAATCGTCATCATCATCATCATCATCATCATCATCATCATCATCATCACCATCATCATCATCATCATCATCACCAATATTAGTATTATCGCCATCATTAACATAATCGGCTTTCCAACATTTATTGGTTCAAATAAATCACGCATTTTCCGCTCTTCCCAACTCTCCGATCCCATTCTCCAGTGTTGTGGACTGCTCAGGGAACATATATAACACGCTGCTCGGACGATGAAACAATCAATCGACATTTCAGCTTGTTTTGGTCTATATTTCAAACCAGGTAAATGCTTTTGCATTTTTGGATCGTTAGTATAGTCCTAGCCGATATACATTTTTTCTTACCGCATCAAAACGTTTGCAGACAAGTCAGTTTTCGGGTTTCGGTTGACAGACAGCAGGATTTGAACAAAATGTCGACAGCGCTTGGTAGTAAAATATCTGTAGTAGATTGAAAGTATGTAAATCGAATTACTAGTTTGTCTGATCTATATAACTATAGCTCAGACGGGATTAGGTCAGCCAATCGAAAACTGTGTCCAAGATCAAGAAAAAGGGTGGAGGCCTACGAGGTAGTTCTTCAATCATCATTTGACATTATAGAACGGACAGAAAGGCTCGCTTACATCGATGAAGGAAACGGACACTGTCGGATGGTTGGTCGTTGCTCACGCAGTAGTTCTTTTACACGTTCGATTTAGACAGATAACTTAAGGCAATGATCCCCAAGATTAAATCTGAAAGTGGCCAGTAGTGTTACGCAAGATGTCTGCTGCAGCGACATTTCTTTTGCATATCATCAGTTACCTCATGCGAATTACAAATGGTCATTGAATATGTTCTTCAGGTATGGTGACAAATAGATTCAAAGACGAGATTCATAAAACTTGTTCGCAAGACAGTGTAACCAGTTTACTAACACTTTTCCTCCTTAATCCGGATACAGATGGGTGGAAGTGGTTAGTGAATGGGTGCGGATGGCATGTTAATATGTGTGTGTTTCAGTAGGCATAAGGCGGCGAGCGAAAGTCAGA